TACTGTGTTTTGAAACATTCAGGTCTCGATTAAATCTTAAGAAAAAGAACAACAGTTTGGAAGTCGTACTAGTCTAATAATACTTTACTTATCGGCAAAATATGAGTTCCAAACCTTGAAATTACTTGTGAAACGTTCCTAGAAAACACTGCAAATTTCTGTTATGTCAGGTGGAAGTTAGCATATTTTTACGGCCAAAGACGTTTTCTGATCACTTCATACCGAACTAACATTAAAATTATCGACAAAAAACTTTTTCCAACAAAGCACTCGGCTATCCTTGAATTAATTCTAGATCCTGATAACTTCTCTCGAACTCTCCAAGTCAAACAATACGGGTAGATTATGGTAAGTTTCCGTTTGAAACAGATGACTATATACGATACATCGTATTACAGTGTCGTATACGATAGCCGTTTACGTTGCATTATTAAGATGGATCATGATTCATGATTCTCAATTTAAAATAAATCTATTTTTTTAATTTAAATTGATTCGCAAAACAAGTACAAGAGTAAAAATTGGTTTAAATAAATAAATTATACAAATATTTTTTTTTACGACACAAGAGCATAATAGAATAGTCATACCTCACTTCCATGAGAGAAAGCTCATGTAAACATGATGGCATACAGCCATAAACACACCATAATCGCACGGTATACGATTCCTATACGGGCACCGGAAATATGCATCTGAGTCATAAAGAGAACTCAATATTCTCTTAATGTATACCAAAACTCTAGTGCTCTCTATTATAAAGTCAATTCTAATAATTAACGCTTTTTGTTATCTAATATTTGTTACTTCCTATAGCAATCAATTCAAATAATTACTTTGATGCTTGAAAGGAAAAAAAGACTATATTTTAAATAACCTATATTACATAATTCTATCAAGTCTACTAATCTTTTTCATAGGTCATTCTCTTAATTATGTTTTGTTTGATAATAAAAAAACAAGAAAAAAAAAAGAGTTAATTCATTTTTTCATAGTAATATTCTAATATTTTATAAACCAATATATCTTTATATGGATTGAATAAAAGAAAAATTGAATAAAAACAGAAAAAACCAAGTTATACAAGTGATACATCTTGTGATATACACGACATATTCATTCGTTTAGGTACATCATATGATGATGATGACATTGATTGTCGAGTTCGAAATTCATATATACGATACTGTTCGAGTAGTTGATTAGTAGTAAGAATTGAAGTTTCAACAGGTAAATGATTTTCTGATACATCAGAACTACCCGAATAACCTTCATCATCACGTATTGGACTTGATGATGAAAATGGTGATGATGATGACTTTTGTATTAAATATATTGCTGTACGTGTTGGTGACAATGATAATTCATGATCATCATGTACTTTTAATTTAGATACAGTTGAAATTGCATCATATTCTATAAGAAAACACAGAACATATCTTATGATATAATAGAAAAGCTGACAAGAAAAAGAGGATTATTTTCCATTGAAATCTACTTACTATCATGAACATTTTCTTCATTACTGGATGAAGATGATGATTTCTAAAAGAATTATAATTAAAGAAAACATACAAAAAAAAAAATTTTTTTTTTTCAAAAATCAACAAACCTGTTTATCATGACAAATTTGATTGTATTTACGTTTTCTAATAATTATCATAGCACAAATAATTGTAATAAAAATTAGAAAAATACCTAAAAAAATTGGTATTATAATTATCCATTGTGATCGTATAAATAATAATAAAAATGTTTGATTTGATTGTGATGTTATTTCAAGTTGAAATGTATCTTCATAATTATTTTTATTATTAAGTTGAATATGAAATAAATATTTTCCTTTAACAGGTAATGATAATTTTATAAGTGTACAATTAGTTAAAAGTTGAAAATAATTATAAATTCGTGTTTGATAACGACAATATGTTGAATTAAATAAATCTATTGAAAAAAATTCATTTTGATTTATTTGAAAATTTTTTTTTCTTAAAAATGGTATATGACCATATTCATTTAATATTCGTATAATTATAGTTGTATTAAATTCTTTTTTATATTGATCAATTACTTTATAATTTAATATATAAATACTTTGTTTTTCACGATTAAATATTGTTGCTGTATATAAAGAACCTGTTTTTGTATTAATATAAAAATTTTTTGTATCATCTATTGAATAGGATACATTATAACAAAATTTATTTGTTATTTTTTCTAATATTAATGTTCGATTAGATAAATTTTCTTTTATATCAAGAATATAATTATTATTATTTTTATTAAATGAAAATTGACATAAATATTCTTCATTTGGTTTCATTTGAAATTCATATGAACGATTTGTCCATAATGATGGTTGATCATTGTCACATGAATTTAATGATAAATAATAATAATCATATTCAATTAATTGTGAATTATTTTTTGTTGATAATATATATATTGATTCAGTTATTAAACCATTTTTAATTTGACGTACAAATTGTATTTGAAAATGTTTAGTATCATTTATAAATAAACTTAAATTTTTTGTTGATTCATCAAGATCTTTTATATTTATTGTTGCTAATGGTGTTGAATATGTATTTAAATCATATTTAATTATATTTGATTGAAATAAAACTGATGGATAAAATATTAAATTTATATCAGGTAAATTATCATTTATATTTAAAACATGTATTATTATTTCACTAAAACAAGGTGCTATTGTTGATGATGATGATGATGAATGTGCTTCAATAGTTAATTTATGTATTGTTATTGTTTCATAATCAAGCATATTTAATAGAATTAATTCACCAGTTGAAGAATTAAGATAAAATGTTTTATATATATCACCATGAAGTTCATAGTGTATTAATATTGATGATGATGATGTGGCTTTAATAAAACCAATCTTTGTAGTAATTGGTGCTGATTCCGAAATAGAAAATTCATATGAATCATGTTCAAAAAAAAGAAATGTTGCATTTGTTAAATAAATTATTAATAATAAACGTAGGAGGATCATCTAAAACACAAAAAAAAACAAAAACAAAAACAAAAATAAATTTCTTAGTTGATATGATGTTCCTTTGATAAATATAAGATGATCATTTGTTGGTTTTCTTTTTTTTTTATGTATTGTACTTTGAACATACAGAGCAGGGTTACTTACTTATTGTAGGATTGATTAGCACCTTCACCACTTGTTTCGAATTAATGATGAGACAGACCTTCCTTCTTTTTTTTTTTTGCTTGTAGAATATACACACTTAATCTCACTCCGACAACTGTGCACTGCTGATCAGCAAAAGATCTTACCTTGATCTGTGCGCTAATCTCATGATGCTATCTGACACAATGCACGCGTATAGATCATTAGACGAAGAAAGATAGATCTTATACACCATTATTTTCTAGACTGAACATTGAACTCGCGTGAACAATAGCAATTAGTATACATATACATACACATTTGAACAGAAGCAAGAGAATGAGAGAGAGAGAGAAAGAAAGGAGAGGACGAGAGAATTTTTTCTTTGGAAAAATCGGAAGGCGAGAGAAAAAGTTCATTTATTCGAACAGAATGTTGATGATCTGATAAGCACGACAACACCTGTAAAGAAGTTTGTCAGGATAATAAATTAGCTTTACCAAGATGTGTACACGACAGACGATGAGCATCGCTCGAAGATACGTGTCTTATTCACAGCAGGATGTCGAACTACTCTCCATATGTCCGTCAAAGAATAAACGAGTGAACATATTCAGCTGATTCAATATGGATACAAAGTGTATAGAAGCAACAAGAAAAAAAACGAAGAAGTTTGACTTCTTTATTTCTTCCTTTTTTGATCTGCTTCGTTGAATTAGTATAGTAGCCGACGGCATTCAAGTTTATTTTTCTTTCATAATTGATGTTTTTCAATTATATTAGCCGACGCTGTACTCATGATGATGATGATTACTAGTTCACTGGTCCATACTGAACTGATCGTCCGAGAAGAATTTCTGATGTTATGATAAGGTTTATAAGAAGCAATCTGGACACCGGGAGGTGTGACCGATATTGTACAATTACTCTTCATTTCTTTTTCTATCCGGTTTAGAATTGGTTAGGAAATTGATGTCTCAACTAGATTTTGAATGGTCATTTCATATAATTCTAATGTCACTTACAGATAAAGAAATAGACAGATAATTATCCATTGACGCTCTTTTATATGAATGTGTTTGTAATTTTTCTTCATTGAATAGTGCCGCTAAACAATGAAAAGAAGAGTTCAAAACGACGCTGTTGGAAAAGAGCGAACAAAAAAAAATGGCGTTATTGTGTCTGCAACTACCACCTACTGTCAATTAGGCACTGCATGTACAAAGGCGCGGTCGATCGGCAAAATGTTTAAAAGTATAAAATGTGTGTGTATGGCAGTATAGACGTGATCCTAACAGTGCAATTTGTCTTGAGCAACCGCTCGAATGGGATTATGAGTCATTTTACTGATGTGTACATGTATGTCTGTATACTGAATAAGACAAGAGACATAGTAACAGTAGCAGCAGCTTGCGTCTTTTCTCTGTTATAAGAGTTACTATTACTATAATTGCAATAGTGCTTGTCGAAATAAGAGAAGGAAAGGGAGGGAAGCGACATAGAAAGGTTAGACATAAATGAATTTGTTGAATTGTACATTAAAAGTTTAAGAGAACAGAGAAAGAGACACTCGTAATCGTCTACTGATGTTGATGATGAATGGGTGTTACTTGCATCTCACAAATGCACCTGCATTCTTCTTCATATTTTTTTTTTCGTCTAATCAGCATTGTCTGAACATATATAGTTAGAAAAGAAAGAAATGATATCCTTGCGGCTTCAATCGACTTTGTCGACACGCACAGTATTCTAAACAAAAGCGAAAATATAATAAAAAAACATAAGAAAGGCATTGTCTATTATATATATATTTTTTTTTTCAAAGAAGTTCAATCATGTTTTGTTTTGAGATGTTGTTATCCACTAACTAATACACTTGGGATATTGAACCTGAAATATAAGTGTGCACACGCCAAGCATGTACTTCGTATATACATCAAGTGGAAGCAATCATTCTTCACTTCTACTACGGTGTCATTCATTGATACGATGAAAAGAAACGAAAAGAAAAAGTTGTTCGTTTGTTCACTCTCTCACCTTAAAACAAATTAAGTGAACAGGTCTAAATGAACTTCTTCTTCTTCTTCTTCTTTCTCTCTCTTGAACCTTACAACAATACATAATCACAAGAACTCTTTTGGGTGCTCTTTTTTTTATTCTGTTTCTACATCACCCATAAAGCTGATAATCGACAATCAAAACCTATGAAACTAATTATACGGTAGATTGTAAATAACAATGTCAATCGAAAGAAAGAAGAAATGATTATTTTGCTCTTCAATCAAGGTAAATAACAGAATTAGTCATCATAATGCTTCATTCATGACTACAGACTCGTTTTTTTCTCATTTACCAATGATGAGTGTTCAATTGCCAATGTCTGACTTTTTCTGATAGACACACACATGTTTCTTTATTTTTGATCGTGTTCAACGTAATTATCTTGCAATTCCAATGGTATATACATACATGCATGCATGCACATATGTACTTCTGATCATTATAGTTAAGAGTATTGATTATGAATTTTTAGCTATAATAAACTATTTCAAGCTGTTTCCAGTAGATATATGACTTTGATGACTAAGAGAATGTATTGTACACTTATTTTCTTTTCTTTTTTTTATTTTACATTGTTCTCAATAATTATTATTATGATTGAAATCAGAGATGATTATTGAATTGAATTGAAGGTTATAATGATCATAAGAATAATTATTCATTCTCTTTTCACACACTTGTCAAACTTTGAATTTAACACCTTGACTAAGGCAATGCATAGAAAAACGCTAAAAAATTTATCACTTTTCAATCGATCGATTTGTTTTGTCTTTTTTTTCCTTTTTTTTTTAAGCACCTGAAATAATAGAAGCAATTATTTTCTTGAAATTGCCAATTCATTTTCAGGGGTATGTTTTGTTTTTCAATATATAAACGTTTAAAAGTAAAGAAAACATCATGACAATCAAAACAAATTTTTATGTAGAAAAAAGTACATGATATGCTTGATTAAACTTATCAGTTTAGGTGTACCAATCTTGTTTTTTTTCTTTAGTTGAGGAGTGCACCAATAAAATACGAAACAACATGGGAAAGAAAAATTGACGCTTTGTTTTCTTTTGTCAAATATGGGTTTTTTACCATGAAATTACCTTTTTCTTTATGATATATTAGTAATCCTTGTGTTATTAAAAAAAACAACGAACAAAGAAACACCTGCAAGCTGTTAGTATATATTGCTCATTTCTTCTTTTTTGAGTATTGTATAAAGTTGATTTAACGAACATATCATACAATAATGTTTGTTAAGATTTTTATACTCTTTACAATTTATATTGTGAGCTCAGTCGATTTAACACCAGTTACAGTACCACAATATTTAGCTATTTATTATGGATGGCCATCTTTAGTTGAAAACAGTCTAGGTGATGTGACAGCAGCTAGTAATTGGTTTGCACAATTTGATTTAATCGTTCTTGGTGATGGAATCTGGAAGACTACACACGGTGATCATTCGAAAACACAAACTATTATTACAAATTTGATTGCTCGTAATAAAAAAGTATTCGGATATGTTGATCTAGGCGTTTCAACACAAAACTTAAGTGTACTACAAATGCAAACAGCTGTCGATGGTTGGTCAGTTATGGGTGCTAATGTAAGAAATATAATTCAGAATTGAGGATTAAATTTGTTTTTTTTTCATTCTCTTTCATAAAGGGTATATTTTGGGATGATGCTGGTTTTGATTATGGTGTGACACGACAACGTCAATCGAGTATGATTCAATATTGTCATTCAAAAAATATGAATGTTATTATGAATGCATGGAATCCTGATGATGTATTTGATGGATCTAATGTTCAACTTAATTCAAATGATATTTATTTACTTGAATCTTATTTAGTCTCTAATGGAACATATCTTTCATTACCAGCTTGGAAAGAAAAAGCTGATAAATGTGCTAATTATAAAAATCATTCAGGTGTTAAAATGGCATGTTTATCAACACCAACTACACATGATCAATTTCTACAAGCATGGTTTGGTACAGCTATGTATAATTTTGATTATTTTCAAGCAACAGATATAACATATAGTGCTAGTAATAATAGACTAGCATTTACGGTCAATCCAAGTTCGTCTTATGGAAGTAATTGGCAAAATGATACAATAACATCGAATGCAGCTAATACGTATTTTTCACGTTCAACAGAATCGTGGACATTGAGTATATCTGGTGATGGAGCATCATGGGGTTATGGTACATTTACTAGTATCTGATAAATGGAAAGTATAGGTTGATATTTTTTGAGAATTTAATACACGAGTTTTTTATGTTATTTTATTTTTTGTTGTTAGTATTCCAATAATAAGTTCATTCATTTCATATATTAGGTGTTTCAGTTTTCTGTCATTTTACAATTTATATTTAAATGATAAAAATCAGAAAAGTTTTGTCATCACCTAATAAATAAATTTAAAACAATATCTATAATAACAGAAAAAAAAAATTTAATATCTCATTCACTTGTCTCAAATGAATGAACAGAAAAATCTACTATTATTATAATTCGATATAAATCATTAAGACCACGTTCGATAAACTACTACTCAAACCGGATGTCGAAAAGTTTTACATTTTGAATATGACTATTAGATTCGAAAGAAAACAAAAGTTAGCCATAAACACGAATTTTAAGCCCTTTTTGAATGAAGTCTTCTGTTGTTTTAGTGATCCAACATTTTTGAGGTAGACTAGGATATGTAATAAAACCTCAATATTTGGAAATTTTGTTTTGTCGAATTTTACAAGTTGAAAACCTATCGATACAATTATAATCTTATATCTGTCGATAGAATGAAATCTACTATAAAAAACTCACTAGTTAGTTTATCTCTACATGCTGTCGGATAGAACTTATGATTATTATATTTTTGAGAACCAATGATTTTACAGTTGATGTTGACATCGGTTTTTGCTATTCTCAATTCTATGTCGACACTGTTTTTTAAGATCTCCGAATGAGTTTTGAATGTTTTTTAGAGCGTCAAAACATACATCTTTTCATACAAAAAACATATAGGTTAAAGTACTGACAAAGTGCTCAAAAATCCATAGCACAATTAACAACCATGTATCATTTTCTGCTAAATTCATATAGACACAACTTGTTCATTTTATAGATAAACTGTTCATATCTCAGCATTATGTCATATATTTCTTCTTGGCAGTATACTTGGAAAATTGAAAAGTATCCATGTCAATAATTGTTCGTCTGATCAGTTAATAACTTCTGGCTCTGTAGGACTTTTTGGTCACAGAGTTTAGGTTGGAAAATTATTTGATCTATCAATATCGTAAATATAAATACGATGATGTTGAAAAACTAAATAATTTCTATGACGTATGAAATAGATTTATTCAATTCATTTCATTATGTTTTCCAAAGAAAAATACTTCTTATTTTTCTTTTCACTCATAAACATAGAGGTCGTTTTAAAATTACATGAATATGTACTAGAAGATCCATATTCACATCACTAAGCTTTTTGTTCTTGTGTTCTCCAAGAAGCATAGCAAGTTTAATATCAATTTGATCGTAAATTTCCTTACGTCTTTATAATTGAACTTCACTTTTTAGCAACATAATGCTGGTATTCATGTTCCATCTTGTGGGCGAGGATGTAAGGTTTAGCCCTATGGATCTTTCAATTATATATAAAATTGATTGACAGTTACGGATAATTTCAGAAGAGATAGATAGGTAAGGGGCGAATTGAGAATCAATTAAGAATGACCTATTTACGCAAGGGACGAATTGAGAATAAGAGTTAAGGGACGAGTTACATGATTGATTAATTTAGGACGAACGGAGAGGATCCCTTCATTAGCATTAGAAACTGAAAATGAAGCATTAAATCAGAGTGAATTTTGTCTATCACAAAAACGATTTTTATTCAAGGGGGAACATGGTAGGAATAAATAAATCCTTTCTGCTTCAGATTCTGATTTATTGCATAACTTAGTAGGTATCAAATAGACTTTCTATGTATAGTACATTCTTCTCTCTTAATTTTACTCTGAAAAAAAATAAAAATAAAAAATGACTTCTATTCTTCTTCTTCTCATTATTCTTGTTCTCTTTGAAATCGATGTGTCAAGAGCAGCAACATTGTCTTTTGTACAATGGAACTGAAATTGTCTTATTGGTGAATCACGGAGAATTTAAATTAATCAGTAAATATTATTGAAGTTTTTGATAAATTAATACAAGAAAGGTTTCATCAAAGAATATTTTTAGCTGTATAGAAGAATATTTTTTTTCTTCTTTTCTCTGGTTACTAACGAAACATGTATGTTTGAAAATTGAATTTTAGCATTTAAAAGCATATTTCAACAAAAACCCTCATCGGTCACCCTTGAATGGGGAAGGTTTAAACTCACTAAAATAAAGAAAACTCCCTGTAAAATCAAAAGTACATGACTGACACATCATCAAACATGTTGCAACCTCTGAGATAGTTGGTTGGTTGGTGATAGGAACCTTATGTTTCGTTTGGCAAGTGTTAAAAAGAGATTTTTCGACTATTTTCATCAAAAAAATTAAGTCTTGAATTCTGTTATATTTCATTTTTTGTCTGAAGAACAGACGTAATTTCTCATGTGATTTAATTGTGACAGTAAAACCGACATAGTTGGACGATAGAACTGACTTCGTACTATTAGTGGATCTGAAGACAAAATGGGTTTTTATCGTAATAACTGGAAATTTAAAGGTCTCAAACTCATCCCATTATAATGTCAAAAATGATGAAATTCCGTAACAGGCAGTATCGACAGTTTTTTTATTGGATGCAGTTGCGCTTGTTACCAAATGGACTGATATTCTGAAAACTTGTGAAAAGCTGAGTAATTTCTATACAGAGCGTTAATGCTATGTCACTTCGTTACGTAGTAAAATCCTTAACTCTTGGCTCACCCTCAAAAACATTTCCATTTTTTGAAATTCCGTAACAGACAGTATTTTTTTCACAACTCACGTTCAGCTAAGCAAAAATCAATGAAATTTTTACCGATAGTAGATCTAACTGGTCTCTATCTGTAACAAAAATTTCAGAGCGTTTGCTTTTGTTATTGAGAAGATATAGCTGATACATTGTAAAAAAATAAAATTCCATAACGCGCGTTTTTGTCGATATATATAACGAGAATTTGATAAAATTTTCTTCAATATCACTGTAAAAATATTTTTGTTTTTTCTTATTTCAGTCGAATTTGTCAAATCAAAATATTCTTCATTATTTGTCTTTCTACTAGATCATTTCAAAAGCATATTATTAACCATTTGAAATCAATTTTAGCTTAGAGTTTATTAACTTAATCAATTCTTTGATCATCGGATTGAGTTAACACATTTATTCCAAGTTATCTTATGTAAAATCAATGTGAAGATATACTCAATTTAAAAAACGATATTATCATGATGACTAGACTAACTCATACCTACGTTATTGCTGATATTCCATAGTGCATCATCATCATTGTCGCTACATCGTCTACTACTACCATTTTTTTTTAACGTAATGTTTTTCAGCATCAATTTTATTATAAATAGTGAAAGTATTATTAGTTATTTCGTCCGTTTGCTTGTGTACGTTAATTGAACTCATAATGGTCGGACATTCATTCATTGATGTAACACAGGCTCATTCATTTATTTATTTGTATTAATATAAATTTGTTTTTGTTTTTGTGTATTTAGTTAGATTTAAATCTTCTTTTTGATATTGATGTTGTTTTAATACATGAAAGAAAATTATTATCATATATATATATATGATACATTTTATGAAGTTCTTATAACATCTGGCGAATGTTGTATTCCAATTGTATTTTTTACAAATGGTGATAATAAATTACATTTATCAAAAGTAACAAAACTTTCACAAGTCTTGGTATTCCAGTAGGAAATATTTTTATTTTTGAATTTTTGTCGACTAATTGTTGTTTAAATTAGATTTCACCAGAACAAATAGTCATGTCATATCATCCATTAAAAGTGTATATTAAATTTCATAAAAAAAAATATATTATTTAATTAGTGATCAAAGATCAATAGCTGATATAGCAAAAAAAATTCGGTTTTACGAAAGGTAGAAATATTGAATAGTTATGACATACCTTTCTTAATCTTGATATAGCTAACTATTAGCAAAAAAGGATGAGAATTAGTATGTTATTCTTTTTTGTTGGTTTTATTTTACAAATGAATTGTTTTGTTTCATTTTTAGTATTCACTATTTCGAGATTATTTCTTACCGAGTGAAACTATTTGTTTTATTTGGTGAACCAGTTAGACTAGAAATATATTTACAATTAATAATTTATGTTTTAATGACAAATGGAAATCTTTTATCATTGATTATTCATCCACTGCTTTCACATTTGCCTATTCTATCATCAATTGATGATCTTTTATGAATGATTAAAAGCTGCTTTAACTAGGTAAAACAAACTAACCTTTATTCATTGATTAAGTAGATATTAATCAAACATGAAAATTTGATTATTGTCTTTAAGTTTTTTTTTCATTCAAAATAAGAATATTTAAGAGAAATTGAAGATTCTAATTTTTGTTTTTCATCATAGAAGATTAGTTTTAACGAAGTGTGTGAGTGGAATAGCTGCTTCTAGTTTGAAAAACTATACAGAGATCTTACTGTCTTTTTGATCAATAAAAAAATATTGAGAAGAGTTTTGTGAAACTCATATAATATTTTGCGAGACAAAATAACTTCATGCATTGCAGTATCTTGAAAGACTAACGTAACTCCTGGTCACCCTTGTTCGAACGACACTTTCGTTAATATTCTTGAAAATATAGTAAGTGTAATTTTTTCTAATTCCATCCTCTGATTATATCAATCAAGCCTCACGAAAATGGTTTTTTCTTGTGAAGGAAGAGACCAATGACGATTATGTACGTTATTATAGTAATTGAGAGCAATAAGCTTCAGATGACTTTCACGGATTAACAACCAGATAGTGCACTGAATGGTACTAAAAACGAACTTTAAAGTGATACCGAAAATTCCAAAGCTTTTCGAGAAATTTGAATGGCTGAAAAGACATTCTAAATAGTGGAATTAAAAATTTATATTTATGATGCCAAGAATGATGGATAATGATCTCAGAAAATAGAAGTTGCTAAGACAGAAATTGGAACTCAAGTTTATAGGCATAATTCAAAAGACAATTCTAAAAAATGTTAGTCATCGATTAAATTTAAAAAAATAATGAGTGTTGAAGAATTAGTTTCAATATGATACGAATAATGCCTCGAATTGTTTTCTCTGAATTAGAATCAAAATATCTAGGTCCTGCACATTTCTATTAATGCTGTATCATTTTTTCATAGTCGTCATATTGTTAACATGGAAAGAGTCAACTAGATAAATAATAAATTTCGAGAATAATCAAAGTTAGTGTTTGTAAGCTTATTGATATATAAAATAGCGCGTTGAGACCTTCTATCGAAATAAAAAACAGCCTTATTTACAATGATTAGAGTAATAATAGTAGTAAATTCGGAAAATGAATAATAAGACAATTAAAAAATAGAGCTCCGAAAAAGAATTCTGTTTGAAATAAAGAATTCTTAGAAAATAATCATAGTCTGTTAGGGATTTTTCACTTGAATCATCTTCTATTATTATAAAGAACATAAAGAATATGTGAGTTCTTTATTTTAACTCAATAAGAACACTTCCAAGTATCTGCAGTAAAAATTTCAGCTCAATTGAAGAAAGTTAGAGGAGAATCCTAAGCAGTTGGATTGAAAAAGCTCATTTTTTGCATCACATTTCATAAAAGAAAATTCTATAAAAATAAACTTTTCTGATAGAATGATGCTTTTTATTTCCATTGACACTTCGAATAGTCATACATTTTATTCTTCTAGAATCCCGTTTCTTGTAAAAAAGCAGAAGAGTTGTGAAATTCAGTTGGATACTATTTCGTGTAGTGATGTCAGATAATAGATGATGAATAAATGCTTAGACGAGTTTTGAATGTATGAATATTCGCCAATTTTTTGAATAAATCGTGTACATTTTTTTTAAAGAAGTGACTTTTTATTTTTTGAATAGAATGAAATATTAAAATTGAGAAATCTTTTGTACTTTGATAAAGTTTTAGAAAATCGTTGGATCACTTCAAATATTCGATGAAAAAAGATTATTCTAATTAGATTCTTTATTGCTGAAAACTTGTATAATATTAGCTCTGTACAATTAATTTCTACCAATGAAAAGTGTCAGAGAACGTCAAAGAAACAATGTACTGCACACGGTACACTCTATCGACACTTAAACCTGACAAAGAAGAATGTTTTATAAAATAATTGGTAATTCAGTATAGTGCATTGTATCTTTATTTTCTCTCTTTCTCTTTGTCTGATCTTTATTCAAAGAAAATAAATTCATATAGTGTCTGTGCAACACGAAAGTAGGCTTTTGTTGATATTGATTTTTCTTGAAACTTTAATAAATGCGTCTGTGTAATTTGAAATAGACATTTAACTGATTCTTGCTAATCAACGATAGCCTGTTCCATGGATATTTTGTTTTTAGTCCTTGCATTTTAACCCTGTTTTAGAAACCAAATGAGATCACAACGAGCACAACGAGGATATCGAAGACAACGGGCACAACATCCACAACTACCATTACCACATATGGATGTTCATAATGTGAAAGTGCGTTAGGTTTTGTCAGTTACGCCAGAAATAGAATCGTTTCCCAGGTCCAGCATTACGATGACCGTGAGCGGGTCGTAAACGACCGTTAATGATAAGGATACGGCCGTAAATTGCCCGTATTTGACCCGTTTGGTATGCGCCGTAATACGGCCGTATATCACCGTGCCGTATACGATTAGAAACGGTGAAAAACGGTTGGAAAATCCCGTATTTGATCGTTTACGACACGGCGATATACGGCCGTAATACGGCGCATACCAAACGGGTCAAATACGATCAAAAACGACCGCTTACGACCGGGCTTGTTTCACCTGGGTTTGCATGTAGTAACGAAAAAAAAAACATAAGAGGTAATCAAAAATTATGTAATCTTTTTTTTCGACAATTGTGACTGTCATACGCCAAATAGATCCCATTAGCATTTCGTCCATTTTCTCTTGTGATAATAACGTAGTTGTTAAAGCACATGGTCTCTAAAGTCGATGAAATTTTGATATATTCCGAAAATAAGAAACTGAACGGATCAATGAATTCTTTAAATGTCGTACGCGTCTAATATAGCTTATTTTTATATTTTTCTGTTTAATACTGTGACGTTTGCGCTAGATCTTAGGGACAATTTCTAGATTTTTTTCTCTGTATGGTATTTTTCAATAAAAAGAAATCTGTCAAAGCAATTTCTGCAAGATTAATACGTGAAACAAAATATGAATACTCTTACTAATCCCAGAACGTTGTTTTTATCTATCTGCTTTTCAGTTGATTTTTAAACCATCGTTTTATATATTCCTCCAGAACTGTAATAAGGAAGTAGTTCACATATTGTAATAAGACTATTTATGTACAGCCATTGATCGTATATTGAAGATATCTTGCACTGTTGATGGCAGGTATACTGACAAAGTCAGATGTGGAATCAAGTATATCGACAAAGAACTCGTCTAGGACTGTTTCAAAGCTACTATTCATGATCGAAGTACATATTGATAGAGTCTATCCAATTGTATGTTTGGATCGACCCTCTATGAAATCATACTCGTTTTCAAATCTCATAAAACCTTCTATTGCTTAAGGTTTTTCATGAATATCCTGATTGGATAAGGCTAGGAACAACCCCAAACTGCTACTTATGTTAAGAATGCAGCTCTATAAACTCTCTCCAACGCTATAATTCGATTCTCAATATTTCCAAGTATGATTCCGAAAATTCCAAAAATTTTGCTTCTGTAAATTTTATTCTTCTAGGATGTGAAACAATGTCACATGACTGGTTTAATTAGATGAAGGTCATGATATTTCGATTCGTGAGTTACAAATGTAGATACATAATGTTATTCACGGTACATTAGAGTAACGGAACTAATCGTTAGCATTGTGAAATTTTTTTGAGGATATCAATCAAAAGATCGAGTTCCTAATAATACCGTTTGATGAAGCTCATTGTGTTTTACTTAGCAGATGCTCAAAAATGCATGGTAACGAATTTTCAAGTGGGTTCTCGTTCCTCAGGAACGGAGCCCAAAGAAACGAAACTCTGACACGTCTACCAGCATGGTTTCATGTGTCGGTGAGACAAATATGCCATTCGAAAGAGCTCACCATGATCTAGCCGAAACATGAATAGAAACATTCGCACATAGTCGTTGGGGAAACCTATAGGGTTATCATCGAACCAATTCTAACTTGAGCAACATGTGGCAGGATTCCAGATTTTCTGTCTGTCTTCGAGTGAGTAAGTTGGACATTTCTAAAGTTCTACGCTATAACCTTGAACCATGCTTTTAGATCGCGGATCTTAATAAGACAAACAATACACCTAGATAATAAAATTCCCATTGTGCTTAAATCTAAATTTCCAAGATTTGGATCAATTCTTGATAAGACACATGTTAAAACATCATGAATATGAAAAATGATAACCAAGTATGGATTTATCGGTCCTAGTTTGAGAAAACGGAGTGAAAACCAGATTCTACAGATCTTTGATTGGGTTTATTTAGGAAGTTTTCATAAATCAACACGACCTTTGTTAGCTAAGTGGTTGTTTAAAATAAGTCTCGCATCGTTGGATTATAATTAACGTTGATATTCAATAATTCTATTGCAAAAGCATTAGGAATAATCATTAACATTAATCTTTTAACGTTATTACCATTAGAATTGATTAATCTTTATGTATTAGCATTAAGTTAGAATTATTATTAATTGTAGCATATGTAGTTCGAGAAACTCTTAGATTGCTACCTGTCGCGTTTCAAGTGCTACTTCTAGCATCTATCGTGGAGTGAACAGCAGCCGTGGAAATACTACTACTATCTCGAATGAAGCTTCTAGCATCCTAGTGGATGCTACTAGCATCGAGGTAAAGCTCCTAGCGCCACAGATGAGGCTACTCGCATCCAAGTGCTGCTTCTAGCATCTCAGGTAACGCTACTGGCATTCAGAGATCCCTCTGGCATCCAGATTAGTGCTGCTAGAAACCATGACGATGCTTCAGTGATTTAGCTGATACTTCTAGCATTCTGAGTAGAACTGCTCGCATTCAGCATGATGCTTATAGTATTTGAGTTGCTGTCTGTTAGGACTGTAATCCTAGAACTAGTTTTTTCGGTAGAATTCTAGAAGCTATGTTGAAGACAACTATGAAAAAAAATTTTTAAATGCTATTTTAATGCAAACACCTTTGTAATGATTAACTCTAATATCAGCGATGCTTCAGTATCAGTGTTAGGCATTAATACTAATGCTTTTGCATTAGCATTCTTCAAATACTTATCCTAAGATAAGATCCCTTAGTAAACGTAATTTACTTGACGTCATCTAGGTTTGAATACTCCAGTAATAATGAAATTCGCACGCTAAAATCTTCCTCGTCTATGTAATTGTGTAATTAAGAGTCATTACTAGACGTTTTGAGGACTCTACACGAATATGAGCGGATGCGTGTCTAAAAATTTTGTCGCACATCCAGATCAAGTAGACGTCAATAAATCCTTGAATCCGATGGATTCAGTCATTACGTTCGTTAAAAATACGAATGCAATAGATGCATAGCTACTAAACTTGTTTTTGCATGTAATTAAAAAAAATGTAACTAAAAACACGTTCCGTTTTAACATATCAGTTACCGTTATATAAAGGGTGTTTCATAAGTAACGACCCCATTTTTATTTTTACTCTATCTTTGTTATATTTAAAGGTAGACAGATAGTGACCATATATTCTTGAAGAGCAACTTCTACGCTATCATCCAGATATGATTGCAATGTATTTGTATCAGTTCCAAGAAAGTGCCCCATTGAGAAGTTTTTTGAAAAAAACCAATTAAATTTCGATTTTTAGATTCTGTATTATAAATTTATTTTAAACATAAAAAAATGACAAGTTCATCTAGTTTAGCATTAGTATCAGTAGAAACGATAATCAAAACAATTAGACGATGAAAAAAAATCAATAATCACTCTTACGAATTCTTCTACCTTGATTTTTTATTACTGCTTTTCATCTTCTTGGTATACTTAACATCATTTCAGCACACAAGCTGATATCAAAATTTTCTGACAAAAAAAATGAATGTTCATATTTTCTCGTACATGGTTCACCTACTGGAAGGGCTGAACGACAAAAAGATGGCATATAATGAATGACATACTGGACATTGTTTTTTCCAGTCATAATTATATATTATCTAAATATGTAACGAATAGCAATCAGATTAATTCATTAATTCATACTTCCATATTTTCCATACTAATTTTAATTCCAATGTCTTCCATATCTCAAAACATTGATGTTAAAGGTAAAAAAAAACACTTGGCCTTACGATCATTGATCTTGATTTGGCATGAAAAGAAATGTTGGGGATATCGTAAAATTACAAAAAAAATTTGGCAAGATTATCAACCTGATGGAATATCTTACAATGGATTATTATCATTATCGAAACGTACTATAAAAAGAGGAACACTTGAAGATAAAGTAAGACCAGGAAGACCAAAAGCGGCAAGAACAGTTACAAATATTGAACAAATTAAACAAAGACATTTACATCAAAAACATAATCCTGGTCAACGATCAACAGCTGTTAATTTAGGAATATCTTTAGCAAGTGTTCATCGTGCGATGAAAAAAGATTTACATATTAAACCATTTCATAAATTTAAAACATCCAAGATGACTAATGATCATGTTAAAAGTCGAGTCAAAAGTGCTAAAACTTTATTGAATAAATATGGACGAAAAGAAGACACAAAAAAATTTTCGTGGCACTTAGTCATTAATTCTGATTATTCAGCTAAGATTGGTTTACAAGTACCGAATAATACAAAAAACAATGTGGTTTATGGTGAAACTCGTGAATCAATACCACGTGAATTATTAGAAGCACCAACAGCAAATTTTTTTAAAGGTTTTATGATGTGGAGTGCAATCAGCTGGCGTGGACTTATACCTAAAAATGATCCGATTTTTATTGATGAATTTTTAGATGAATATGAATGGCGTCATGGTGAAAAGAAAACCATGACTGCCCAAAGATATATTGATTTATTGAAACAAAATATAATTCCATCAATTGAAGAAAGATATATGGATTATGATTATATTTATCAAGATGATTACGATTCTATTCATCGTGGAAAAATTACATTAGATTTCATAGAAGAAAATATGCCATCTCGTATTATGCCTGAAGATCAAGCGTCAAAGTTAGCATACAAAACATGACAGACTAAAAATGAAGTCGCTGCTATTAGAAGCTCCAAGAATCGTATGAGTTTGCTATTATATGTCTTAGTAGAGCTAAACTAACTAACTGTTTCGTGAAAACATTGGCTGTTTAGCTAATACATGAGTGCACTGTTTTTTTTGTCAGTTAAATCAAGAATTTGGGTCAGCCGTTTTTT